TTCCTCCAGAGAATAGCCACCCCCCCATGAGGTCTTCCTCTCAATAATCCCTCCGATGTGTCTACTGCAGACTTACCCGTGTATTCAAACTCACGACTAATCAAGCTTAGGAAAGGAACATCATGTGGGAGTAGCCACGTCTCCTGAAGAGCGACCACATCTGACCACATACATATGCCCCTAATATCATCTATAGAACGCTTAGCTGACTTACAGTTAAAACTTGTAAATGTTAGAAACTTTTTTATGTTTTCACTACACATTAATTGATAAAAGTATGTGACTAACTATTAACTAACTATAGAATTAGATTGCCTATCTTTAGTTCTGTACATAAAATGCACAAAACGCCTAAAAACAATTCCGTTTGGCCATAACTCATCGTTTAAAAACATGTCTATCTTATGCTTTGACACATACAGTTTAAACGCATTGTATTTTCTAATAGACTTAATATTTATCTTTTTTAACGATACAATTTCATTCGTTTTTTCTTTTATGTACTGAACAATGTCATCTTCATTTGCTTCCGTACTTACATTCGAAATCAACAAAGGCACTTTTATGTCCGCAGCTTTAAATTTATCATCCGGATCAGTTATAGCTCTGCCTTTTCGACTAACCAATCTATTATGTTTTGAACGCCTGTTTTGCACTAACTTCCATTCCGTGTTCGCATTATTCACAGCCCCTACCCTTTGCTCACTATTCACTCTCACTTCACACAAACTCGCACGTTGTACCGCCGCCTTTGAGGCCCAAGAAGCCTCACTCGAACTCGATCCCGCCGATACTTGTACCGCTCGATGACCGTTGGTAGGGGATTGCGACTGATTCGCCCCGGTTTGTTCTTCAACTAGTTTATTTTCAGTTTTCTCGCTCACACACAGTATATCCGATGAATTGTCGTCTCGTTTCTCCTTGCCAGAGCAATCTATCTCACGTTCCTGGTCTTGTAAGACAGGGACGGCACTGTTGTTATCGCACTGATCAAGTGTTTTTGATAAGAGTTCCGTTTTCCGACCGTTATCCTTTGAAACAGCTGTTCCTCGCGATTGTTGTATGGGCACGTAATGGAGGCCTATAGGCCCACTATCATATTCAAGACTGTTTTGTAAACACGCTCCTCTTCTTGTGTTTACCCTATTTCTCAACTGGAAACTATCAACCAACGATGCATGTTTCATATCATGTACTTCCTGTTTGAGTAATTCAAATTTTTCAGTAGTGACTGATGCTTTTTCTAACTCACTAACCTTGTACTGAAGCTTAGATATATCCTTAAGTAAACGGGTGACATCTACATGGTCAAATGTTACGGGAGGGATTTTGTGAAGATCCTTTGCCACGAAAACTGGATAAAGTTCTGGATCCGTTCCCTTGAGCAGGCCGATCATGTCCTCCAAGTCCCTGTATACTTTTTTCTTGCCGTCCTTTCGTCTAACAGGCAACTTTTTCCCGCTTGGTAAAGACTCGCTTAATAATTTTTTGGCTTTAACTATATCTTCTGGAGTAAAAGAGGTTGTACATAGTTGTAGTACACTCTCTTCATCCATTACATCCAATACGTTTTGTAGAAACGCTAACACTTCACATATAACAATGTTACAGTTATTACACTTTACGGTAGTTGGTGACATCTTGAAAAACGCAATGAGTCACCTATACTGGCGCTGTCGGACGCCAAATTACAATAAACACTGAAATTATACTAAAAAGACGAAAAATACTTTGTTCATATTAAATTTATATTTTAATCGCTCTTCAATAACAAATTGCTACAGTAAATAAACAAACAAACATGTAAATAGATTTTTTCGTTTTGACGTTTTTGTTGAACGTTTATGATGTCGCCTCTGAGGACTAAGACGAAATGCCTCATTGCCTGTAAGAATTTTGAAAACTGTTAAGTTTTGAACGAAGTTCGAATCAAACACACAATACTAACAACAACAAGGCCATTTTTATCGATAGAAGTTTTATTGTAAGGGAGATACAATACAGAACTGTTATAATGGGCAAACCATAATGCAATAAGCATAATTTTCAGTAAACATTCATTACAAAAGTCCCAGATCGATAAACTGTGTGAATAAGTAAAAATTATAAACACACACCGGAGATATGACGTTCATATAATATGCTTAATATCATCTTTATCATTCTTTAGTCATTAGTCACCCTTTTTAGTGAGCTTTCCTGCTCTAATTATGTGGATTCCTGAGATGGCAAAAAAGCATATATATAATATATATTTTAATTACTTAAATTATTATAATTAAGTGCTACAACTAAGAAAAAAGGGCTAAGAGCTACCTAAAACCTCCATTCAAATAATCGAGGCTATTAAAGACCTTAGCTGTGAATTGAACTAATTAATTAATTTAACGCTGCACTTATTATTACTACGTATATTAAATAGTACTTAAGTATGGTACCGACTGTAGTCCTTTTTTATCCTTAAATTAATGGCAAATCCTGGGAAATTTTGGTATTCGTTGTATGAACTGTTAACAACGTTGTAAATATTGGTCTGTCTGCGAGTTTTGTCATACAGGTTCGGGATGTGCCGAGGCTGCAGGATGAGGAGGTGAAGAAAATGTATAAAGATATCTCTGAGCCATGCATATCTCCAAAACCCACTATACGGTGTTAATGGAAGACTTCAACACTTAACTAGGCACAAAGGAGAACGGTGAGCTGAAAGTAGGGAAATTCGGCATAAGGTAACGGGGCCCAAGGGGCCAGCAGCTGGCCAACTTCATGGAGAAAGAGACTCTTTATGATGAACTTTTTCTTCCAGAGGCGGCCCCACAGAAAAAGTGGACCTGGTAGAGCCCCGCCGGTTCGACTAAAATTGAGATTGACTTCCTTACGACGACTAGACGGCAACTGTTCAGTGATGTGTCAGTGATCACGATGGTAAAATCTGGCAGCGATCACCGAATGGTGAGAAGCACACTGAACCTAAACGTTAAGTTATAGAGGTCACGTCCAATAAAGTCAATGCTCAATCAATGCTACATCCCCCTTGTGCTCCAATCCAAAACCCCGAAAACTTTCAGCTCGATTTACAAAATCGTTCTCAGTACTCAAAACATATACATACATTGAACGATATAAATGACAAGCTCGTGGAAACTGTTTATGCGGTTGGAGCTAAGTTTTGCGAGACCAGCCGCAGAAGAACACAAAAACTCTGCGATCACACTCTTAATCTTATGGCTGTTAGACGGAAAATAAAGCTGCAATCTTCATCGGATTTGACAGCATACAGGTAACTGAATAGGCAGATCTCCAAATGCATGCGGCGGGAATTACGCAACTTCAATACAGCTCGTATTGAATAAGCGATCGAGCGGAACCAAGGCTCCAAAGTCTTTGCCAGAGATCTGTCTGACATAAAGAGCCAACTGTCGAAGCCGAAGACCGAATGTGGCAGCATGTTTCCAGGACACCTAATATTTTGAATGAGATTGAGAGGTTCTACGGGTAGCTGTACACATCATCGTCAAAGCCACACGCAAGTGTGAGTATCGATCCAAGAGCAAGTGTTATTCTTTTTTGTAGGAAAAGGGTGACAAACGAGCACACAATCCACCCGATGGTAAGTGGTTGCTGCAGCCCATAGACATCTACATCTATCCTCGTTTGCGAATCAAAATGCAGATGCGTTGCCACCCGTGAGGACTAAGATGGAATGCCTCATTTCCAGTAAAAAGGGCCTCCGGCCACCTGCACTCACTAAGCGAAACGCAGAGGTAAACCTCTACTTCACGCTGGTATTCTGTGAGGTCGTGGTACCACCCCGGTTCGAGCCGGCCCATCCGTGCGACAAAAGCTACCGCGTGCCTCTACAACTGTCTACTGTCCACTGTCTGTTATCCGACACTATGCCGATGATATTCCGGACGTCAGTCTGAGCGAGATCAGAATGGCTCTCCAGCAACGGCAAGTCCCCGGGTGAGGATGAAATTATAGTGAAACTTCTGAAAACGGGTGGAAAACCGGTACTTGAAGTCCTACAGAAGCTCTTTAATTCCGTCCTCCATGGTGACACTACACCGCAGGTGTGGAGCAGAAGTGCGGTGGTCTTGTTCTCTCTCTCAAAAAAAAAGCGTTGTCGCCTTTATTAATAATAATAATCTTTGTCGAATGAAAATGCTACGACAGGAGATGCGGCTCTACGAGTTGCAGAGCAACCCGCGCATGTAGATGCCGCCGTAGATCTCCTTGTAGTTGACTCAGGCGACGATGGAATAGTCGCCCCAGAACAAGAGCAAATGAGGAGCATAGTGGAAGAGGCGATTACGGAAACGCGCAGTACGCCTCTCGAGAATCGACCGCGACTTCCCCGTATACTCCTAAGCAAGCGGAATCGGGCTGTCGTGAGGGCTCTCAACCCAATGCTGGTGACCTATTTGGAAGCCAGCCGGGACCTTTGCGAGACGGACTCAATTCTTTTTGGCGCCGCACTGGCAGTTTGCCGTATTATTGGCGCCAAACTTCCCAAGGCTGGACGCGCTACTAGACAAAGTAGCGCCATCCCAGCCTGGAGAAGATGGATTGAGGACCGTATCGCAAAGGCAAGGGCCCTCATCGGCAGGCTGATAAGCTTCAGGTCGGGCAATAATAGGCCGAGAATTGTGCGCACCGTCAGGATGGCGTTTGCTGGGACAAACATCAGTTTGTCCCAGCCGGATATAACGCAAAAACTGACGGAGCACATAGACGACCTGAAGCAGAGAATCGCTGCTTGGGGGAAGCGGATTCGGCGATATACCGAGAGGTCAACATGGTTCAACCAGAATCGTCTCTTCCAGAGTGATCAGAAGAGGCTCTATGAATCATTAGAGCGACCAATGGTACGTGGAACGGGCCCAGCACCGAATCAGGCCGACACTATCGCATTCTGGCGCGGCCTGTGGTCAGAGCCCGTAAACCACAGTGAGGGCCCTTGGACGGAAGTTGTGGCGAGTCAGTGTGCGAATGTTACGCCCATGGACCCCGTCATCATTACGCCGGATGACGTAGCTGAGGCGGTCCGTAGGGCCCCGAACTGGAAAAGTCCGGGACTCGACGGACTGCATCACTACTGGCTGAAGGGGTTCGTGGTGTGTCACGCTGTTCTCGCCCGACAGTTTCAAGAGGCTCTCGACCAAAAGTCGCTCCCGAGCCTCTTCACTACTGGGATCACTCATTTGGTTCCTAAAGACCGAGATTCCACAAACCTGAGCAAATACCGCCCCATAACGTGTCTACCTACCATATACAAGACACTAACATCCATTTTGAGCGCGAGAATCACTCGTCACCTGAACTCAAATCAGGTGATGTCGCGCGCTCAAAATGGATGTCGGGGCGGCGGTCGTGGAACCAAGGAACCACTCCTCATTGACGCGGTCATTGGCAAGGTGGTTAAACGCAACCGTCGGAACCTCTCCGCCGCCTGGATAGACTACAAAAAGGCATTCGACTCGGTGCCTCATACATGGCTGAAGAGGGTCCTCGAGCTATACAAGGTTGACTGTACAGTTCGAGACTTCCTCGGGCAGTGTATGGAGCAGTGGAGTACGATCCTTTGTCATCTAGGCGAGCGGATGACGGCTGCGGAGAACCACATAAGGATAAGAAGGAGTATCTTCCAGGGCGATTGTCTGAGTCCAATCTGGTTCTGCCTCTCTCTGAACCCTCTTAGTACCTTACTGGAGGGTTCCGGGAGGGGATTTCAGCTTCGGAGAGGAGGTACAAAAGTGACCCACCTTTTCTATATGGATGATCTCAAGTTATTCGCCTCCAGTCGCTCTCATCTTATGGAATTGCTAAACATCACTTGTGATTTTAGCAATTCTATTAGAATGGAGCTGGGGACGGATAAGTGTGCGATCCTCCATGTGGAAGGGGGAAGGGTTGCTAACTCTGAGGGCATAGACTTATCTATGCCCATGAGCATAAGGACCCTTTCCGAGGCTCAAACATACCGATACCTGGGTATGTCACAGAACATGGGTATCGATGAGTCGAACATGAAACGGTCAGTTTGCGGTGTGTTTTATGCACGCTTGACAAAAGTGCTCAACAGTCTTTTGTCGGGCGTTAATAAGACACATGCATATAACGGTTGGATCATGCCTGTTCTCATGTATACCTTTGGCATGCTCAGGTGGACTCAGACCGAACTGAACGCTCTGGACAGAAAAGTCCGCACTATAATGACGTCCCACAGGATGCATCATCCGAGATCGTCAGTGATGAGGCTGTACTTGCCGCGGAAGCATGGTGGGCGCGGCTTTTTAAGCGCGCTTACCATGCATAATCGCGAAGTGTGCAGCCTCCGTAATTACTTTCTGACGAGAGCTGATGATCCATTCTATAGGGACGTTATTTCTTGTGATAAAGGACTTACCCCTCTATCCTTAGCCAACGAGCAATGGCAAGACCCGGCAGTACAGAGCATTTCCGACCGGGAGACCGTATGGAAGGAGAAGGAGCTCCACGGGAGGTTCTACAAGGCTCTACATGAGCCTTGCATAGACACAGTCGCCTCCCTCCACTGGCTACGTTTCGGTGACCTCTTTGGGGTAACCGAGGGTTTTGTCTGTGCGATACAGGATCGGGTTATTAAGACCAACAATTATCGGAGATACATCCTAAAGGATGGCACCGTCGACGTCTGTCGAGCTTGCCGCCATCCCGGTGAGTCAATTAGGCATGTCATCTCCGGTTGTTCGGCGCTTTCTAACTCTGAGTATTTGCACAGACACAACCTAGTAGCCAGGATTCTACACCAGGAGCTCGCTCTGAAATACGGTCGCGTGGATCGGAAACTGCCATATTATAATTACTTGCCGGAAGCCGTGCTCGAAAATGACCGCGCCAGGCTCTACTGGGACCGGGCCATCATCACGGACAGGACTATTCTTGCGAATAAGACTGATATTGTGCTGATGGACCGGGCACAGTCAAGGATATTTTTGGTCGACATTACCATTCCTTTTGACGAGAACCTCGTGAAAGCCGAAACAGATAAATTGACAAAATATCTGGACCTGGCTCACGAGGTGACCGACATGTGGGGTGGTCTGCCGGCCGAAATTATTCCTGTGGTCGTCTCTGCGAACGGGTTAATCCCAGTCAGCCTCTCGGGTCATCTGAGGCGACTGGGACTCCGTGGCGGATCGCTCCAAGCTCAAATGCAGAAGGCGGTGCTCCTCGATACCGCCCGCATCGTCCGCCGGTTTCTTTCCCTTTCCCCCTAACCCTCGGCCGTTTGGTCTCCCCTTCCATCTGGTTGGGTTTTTATATATTTATGTAATTTTTGTGTATTTATTTTATTTTATATATTTATGTATTTATTGATATTTATGTAAGTTTATCATTTTCATTTACAATTATATATTTATACAGCCCAACCAGATGAGAAAACTATACAAATACCCCATAATAATAATAATAATAAATATTTATTTCATTTCAAATTACACATGTTGACATACAGGAAACAAAATGATTACAATTAATAAAGTAACAATAAGTCTAACAAAAATAACATGCTATGATAAAATTAAAACTATGTGTAGCTAAATAATGTAGAATCTACAAAAGAAGATAGAAAATTCATATTTATAATATTAGCTACCTGCCTGAACTAGGTTGAGTATCTGTGTTTCAGACATCACTTATAAAATCGGTTTAATAATGTAGGACACTAGATATTTAAATAATTAAACTAAATTGTATAATAAATAAAATAACTAAATAACAATTATTTATTGCCTACAATAAATACAAACAATTTTAGTATATCTAATTACTTCTCTGTGTCTTCGTAATTTAATTTATTTAGAAATTCCCTTACACTTATATTACAGTCCTTATAACTTAGACTATATACCTTTAGTGACTTGTAGAGCTTGTTATATAGAAAGGGTCCTAAAATTATGTAAAATTTGTTCACAAATGCGTGTTTGGTTTGAGGATTTACACAAACTAAGTCCATTCTTCTCCTCTCTATGGATTTTAAGTTAAATGGAAGTTCGGTATGTTGTTTTAATATGATTTTCAGGATAAACAACTGACGGACAGTTAGTACACTACATGCCAAGTACAGTTGATGTGTAGGAAACATGAATGGACGGAAAGTGGCTACCTTTAGAACTGCTCTCTGAGCACGTTCTAGTGGGAGCAATATTGTTTTAGAAGCACCACCCCAGGAAGTAATGCCATAAGTGAGTATGGATTGACACAAAGCTAAATAGACCTGTCTTATCAATTTGAAGTCAGTGATGTTACGAAGATATTTAAAAATATATATTAATTTACGAACTCTAGCACAAAGTAAATCGATGTGCTTGCGGAAATTTAAATTTGTGTCAAACGTGATACCTAGCTTAGAGTAATACTTCTATGATACCTAGATATTTTATATTGTCTGTTTTTGTTAAAGCGGGACATGCACATGCAATGTCGTCATACGAGTTACAATGATGAGCGTAAATATTTAGGTCAGCAGGTATGTTATTATTTCTCATTAAAAATAACATATATTGTGTTTTATCTGCGTTTAAACTTAGGAGATTATTTATAAACCAATTAGATACTATGTTAAAGCCTTGCTGAGCGTATTTATAAACCTCATCTCGTGATTTAGCTGAGAATAACAGGGCTGTGTCATCCGCATAAGACATTATAACACCATTTTGAAGTTGAAGATTGCATAAGTCATTTATATAAATTAGGAACAATCTAGAACATGTTCATACACTGCAGACTTCCCGGAACGTCGGTTCTTCAAGTCAGCTACATGTTCTTTCACGCGGGTTTTAATACATCTTTTTGATAGTCCTATGTAAGAGAGACCACATTCACAATCCAGCTTGTACACTCCTGCATCTTGTACAGGGATGTGACACTTGACGGATGGTAAAAATTGAGTAATCTACTTCGGCGGCTTTAAGTATGCTTTAATGGAAGCTCGCTTCAAGATGTAGCCGACTTGTCTATGACCTAGGGTAGTACAGCAGGCATACGCTCGACTGTGGCCGGCTTCACTCGGTCACTGTGACGTAGGCGCGGGACCCGAAGCTTGTTGTCTTGCAATATTTGCTCGACGTGCTGAAGCTCGGCGGCCAGATGTTTTCTGTCACAGATCCCTCGTGCTCTCTGAAACAAAGATTTTCCCACGGTAGCTAACTATGATGGATGATGGTGCCATTCACCATATAAATATTATAATTCATTTTAATTCTTAAGGGAGAATAAATGTAGATGTCTATGGACCATAGTACCTACCTATCCACTTACCATCAGGTAGACTGTGCGCTTATTTGTCACCTAATTCGAGCCACCATTCGCGGTTGAAACCTATCAAATTTTATAAACCACTTTCTCTCTCTTCACATAATATGTAACGTGCAAACATATTCATATTTTATTACATTCTTATCGCAATACGAAAATAATTTTCCTTACATTCGGTTCACAAACTTGTCCGAACAGTATTTTTTTTCTTTATGTTATTTCGACTTATTTCAAATCGTAAAAATGAAAGATAACGTAAGTAAAACTACCAGGAAATTCAACGTAAACACTGTGTAAAGTAAAAGCACGACTTTCAATAGAAAGACGTGCTAAGAGGCTTATTGTTGACCCTAATTTGGGTAAAACCAATCTTACCAGTCTCGAACACAAGCTCAAAGTAGCCAGCCTTTCGTCTTCTACAGGATGCATTTCGGAGAGTGTGCGCAGGAATTGCATAATTTAATTCCTCCCTCTCCCTTCCACCATCGGACGACCAGACGTTCGGCCAGTCTCCACCCCTTCGTTGTTGACCTACCACGCATTCGAACCAAAGTTTGCTACATCGTTCATCACGCGTACAGCAAAGGAGTGCAATAAGTTGCCAGCATCTGTGTTTCCATCCGAATATAATGTGGTTATCTTCAAGGCAAGAGTGAATAATCTTTTGTTAAGTCAGTGCGCTTCACTATCTTAGACTACATCATCACTTACTATCAGGTGTGATTCTATATATACATAATATCTACATAATATAATTGATATCCGTAATCTATCTAATAGACAAAAAAAGTAAATTTACAGCCTATTTACGAGTCCCACAACCGGGTACAGATCTCTCTTATTATTGAGGTATGTAAAGCAATTAATACCTCATATACCGGTTAATATATAAAAATAATATTTGTTTGGTTATTCATCTTGTATGTGGCTCAACACTATTCATCCGATAACGCTGAAACTTTGATGAATAGTGACACTGAAATTCCAAATTTGGGGGCAGATTTTACTTTTAACCTCTTTTAACCTAAACTACCTGCTACTTATTCGTATTAGTGTTTCTTTCGCTGTGCGGTCACAGTAACTTTTCCTCACAGAACATTTTCAAGCTGCTGGCAGCGCTACTCACTTCGGCCGCCGCGCCTGATGATTCGTTAACGAGTGGTGAGTCTTTTTACTTATGTGGGGTATAAATATAGCTTTCATCTGGTTGGGCTGCATAAATATATTAAAGAAAATGATAAATATATACCTATACAAATATATCCATTAAATATAAAATAATAAAAATATATAAATAAAAAAAGTTCTAACCAGATGGAATTCGGCAGTGGAGGCCAAACGGTCGACGGTTAGGTTGAATGGGAGAAACCGACAGACGTTGCGGACGGTTTCGATGCTGCCCGGGATTAGCCCGTTCGCAGAAACGATTTCAGGAATAATTTCAATCAATAATTTAATTTTTAATTTTAATTCTTATTATTATAAGGCAAAAATTCATGGGGAAGGCCTATGTTGGTATAATGGATGAACATCGGACTTAAGGAGCGGCCTCTGAGTCCAGGTAGCTCGCTAAACGCTCGTAGTAAATTTCACAGTACGCGAGAAACCCGGGACTGATAGTCACCGGCACCAATAGAATTGCAATATTAAATGCTAATATACCACGTGTTTGGCGGTGAAGAAAAACATCGTGAGGAAACCATTAGAAATTTTAAAAATATATTTCAGTGACATGTGACGTCTGCCAACACGCATTTGGGCAGCGCAATGGTCGCTTCCTTGCCCTAAAATCCTCCCAGAAAGGAGAAGAGGCCTGTGCCCAGGAATGGGACGTACATTGGATTTAGACTGTAACTTTACTTCACATACTTTACGTTTGTGAGACCAGTGGGAGACCGAGCATGGTCTCCCACTGGTTTTCACGAGATAAATTGCTAAGAATTTATATAATTTTCTTAGATCATATTATATAATGGCTAGGTATAACGACGCGTTGTCATTACGTTTCATAATATGAGCCAAAATTTACGGATTTGTGGCCATGATAGCTTCGTCTTTCACTTACGCTGGCTTTGTGTGCGTGTTGTAGGGATACCAGTTTAAGGTGTTTCATTACCTAGTGTGAAAAATGTAGGAAAATTATACATGTTGTTATTTTCGCTTTTTATTTTCGTATTTCCTACATAAGACATGGTTGACCGTTCTTAGAAACGCAATAAGTTGTCGTCATTCACATTAGAAATGCTGAAAATAGATATTAATTGAAGGCAGAAAAACATCTCGTTATTATCTTTTATTCGAATATATAATTATAGTTTAAATTTCTAGTTTGCGCCGGAAAGCCAACGGGACATAATATCTCACATACGTTCTGGAGTTGGACTGCTATTTCTTCTATGACTGACTCACTCATAAAAACCCTAAACTACTTCTAGATTATTTCTGACTACCACTAGAAGCTTAAAAGGCATCAAGGTGGATTACTAGTCGCCGCCGTTATCATCATCATTACATCCTATCAAAGGTTTACTGCTGAACACCGGCTTCCTCCATAGATTGCCTCTTAGAGTTATATTTACCATAGTGGCCACACGAACCGGAGATATTGACAGAATTATTGAAATCCCACCAAAACAATAACTAAAACATCCCATGAAACAATAAATAAAATAAATATCTCAGGTGTCCCACAAGGCTCGATTTTCGGCCCTTTACTGTTCATTGCCTTTATAAACGACCTTGTTGCGCAATTAAAATGTATCAGTCTACAACGATTTAGAAACGATTTAAGAATTTTCTCCGTAGTGGCTACCCTTGAAGACGCTGAAGCATTACAAACGGATATCAAAACCGTGGCGAGATGGTGTACTGATAATCACATGTATTTTAATATTAATAAATGTTCTGTATTGCCTTTACTAGAAAAACAAATGTATTACTAGAAATGTTTTATGTATGTATGTTTTACTAGAAAAACAAGTGTATTAGGAGAAAAACTGAAAATGATATGTTTTTAGCTAGTATTAAATATCATCACGTTAAACATAATTTCATAATAATTATTATCATCATTACAACTTTCCACACGTCCACCGCTGAACATAGGTCTCCCACAAGGAATGCCACAAAACACAGTCTTGAGCCACATGCAGCCATCGACTTCCTCGATATCTTACTAAGTCGTCGTTCCATCTAGTGTGGGACCGCTCTATATTTCCGTTACCAGTACGAGATTGCCACGCGAGAACCTTTCTTCCCCATCGGATGTCGGTTCCCCGAGCAATAAAGCCAGTCCCTACATATGTACATAATTTATTGACTATTAACAACCTACGCAACAGGATGATGGATTTGCGTACACCGCGACCACATGGCAATTGACACTATATTATGCATATAATCATAACAAATCATTTTCAGAACTTAGTGAAAAAGAAAACAAAACCAACCCCCTACTTGAAAATATCAGACGACAGCTCATGAAAGACAACTACGACTATGGCGCCGAAGAGACGACTGTCGTACTTAGATCAAAGATGGAAGAGTATCAAAATAAAGAATATAATGACAATGAGAAAACATCGACACTATTTCAAGGAAATATTAGCTCTACGTTGGATATTCCCGACAAAGTTGAAAGTACTGCTAAGACTTATGATCATGCCATTGTAAACATTACGACTTCTCAAACAATTGACGCTCGACGTGAACCTGAAATGTATGACAACCAATCCAAGTACATAACTAAAACTGAAAAAAGTAATACTGAATCGCAAACATCTAAAAACGATGGAAATATGAATACACAAATTAAACGACGCGTGGGCGCTAATAATATTCAGTATGAAAATGGCGATACAGATGTTACAGCATCAAACGCAAGAGTAAGGTATAATATATTAAAGGTAAGTTAAAATATTTAAAAAATGTGAAATATATTCCCATGTTAAATTTTATACTAAATCTTTACCTTAAAATTGAATACACACGAGCAAAAGGAGTTTGAGTTTTATTCATAACAGCCCATAATAAGTCCAATTCTAAACATAGGCCTCCCCCCAAGGAATGCCGCAAAGCGCGGTCCCAAGCTACCTACATCCATCAACTTCCTGTATCTCTTAACTGAGTGACCCCCCCCCCCCCCCCCCACTTGATAGTGACGACCTCCATCTCGTGGGAGGTCGGCTTACACTTCGCTACCGATACGAGGCTGCCAATCGAGAACCTTTTTTTCTAATTGATTATCGGTCCTTCGAGCTATATAGCTGGCTCATGTTGCGTAAGTGCTTACGCTTTCTGCTCCCTTGTACTATGTCAGTTACTCTGATTCTTCTGCCAAATCGGCAAAATGAAGTTTATTACGCAGTGAAACTCCGAGAATAACTCTCTTGATAAATCGCTGAGCACCTCGAGCTTCCTAATACGACTAGCAGTCTTTTTATATTTCTTTTTTTATATAAAAACGTTACCATCACACTGGAATTTTCTTTGGTATCGTTGTAGCAGTTTATATACATAAATCGCAACTAAGACAAACATCCAGGCCCGGAACAATCATACAAATATTTGTTCCGTGCGGGATCGAACACGGGACCATTACCGCCAAAGTTCACTCATAGACAAGCAGAAGATTGTCCTATCAAGACTAAAACATCTTCAATGGGACTTGATTAAATGAAAGTATAGGGCTCTTAATATTTCTAAACAGTTTTATTAATGCACCCATCTATATCAGACTTAGTGCCTTCAATAATAATAGATAATATTATATAAGGCTTGACTAATATTTTCTCGATGTTAATGATATTTCATTTTTGCAATTCTCACCTTATAGAGAGCTTATACGCCTATTACACTACATTGAAGGGTTCCTAAGCCCTTAATAAAAGAGGTGTAATAAGAATTGGGCAGTAAGGGTACCTAATTAGGGCGTCAGAGTGGACCCGGTCCGCCTTACTCCCTTAGTGCGCTTACCACCGTACAGTGTAATAAATAACTTAGGACAGTTACACGAAGTGCGACGAGCGCGGAGAGCGGTCGTGAGTTTTGATTGCATGCTTCTGTTTTATGCGTAGCCATGTTCGACATAGAAAAAGGAGTATTGTTGTGTGTAATAGATTTGTACACCTTATTTGTGGAAGAAGGACCACAAGGACTATATGAATAAGCACATAAGAAGTGAAGGTTTTAAAGTGTACAAGTGTGACAGTCATAGCAATAGCGAGTTTTTCTTTTTTTCTTTTTTTTCGTCAAGTGATTGTAGAGAACCGGAGACCTTTTTACTGGAAACGAAGCATTCTATCTGAAGCCTCAGGTGAACAAAGCATCTGCATTTTGATTCTTTATCGAGGATGAATTCATGGGCAACAGCATCCACTTACCATCAGATGGACTGTGTGGTCGCTTATCATCCGTGTTCTATAAAAAAAAATTGGTGGCACGACGTCCAGTCTGTCCAAAATTCGCTTTCTGAGAAAGGGGTAAGGGCGTAAAATCAGTGCAGTGTAATAACTGACGTATCTAATTAGGGGCCACGCCCACCTTTAATTCAGGGCCCTGATTCAGTGTAGTGTGATATTAACCATATAGAATTAATATAGGTTTAAATAAAGGGGTATGTGGCGCAACACTATAGTAAAATATTCAAATTAGATGATATTTCATATTTCAAATCAAAATAGATAATATTTTGAATAGTTTGAAGGAGTAATCGATTGCTCTTGTGAAAATATTACGCCAGTTATATAAGAAGTTTTGCCTACTTGATAAAATAATTGAGAATATGGCAAAAAGATTTATTATAAGTGTCGCAAAACTTCTTCTTCGTCATTATCATTATTTGGTGATGATCGTAAAATAATATGTTAAATTTTCACCAATACCTTCGTGTTATAAGTTGTTATTTTATATAAAATGTTGGTTAGAAAAATGACTATATTATTTCCATTAATCATTAAATTATCACGTGATAATAGTGGTGACTAAATGTTATGTTGTTTCATTCAATTTGTTTCATTGTAAACTTGTAACATAATGTGATAAAGATGTTTGATTGTTATTATAAATGAGTGCCATTTCGTTACTCTAAATATTTAGTACCTTCTGTCTTACAGACCATTATACCTACTAATTTTCACATAATTAGGGATGATGAAAATTTTATCAATCTAAAGTAATTTAGGAACAGTAACATGTTATATAACATTAATAAATTCATTAAAGTTATGTCAAAACAGCTTAATCAAACCATTTTAATTAAAATTATTTGGACTTAACTTTGAATTAAAATGTTTTGCACTCCATTTCTACGTGCCTCTTTTTTCTTATGCACAATATGACATCATCAATTTATTTCCGTTTACCTAATTAAAATTATCCGTAATTATATTCAGGTCAGAAGTCCAAATCGACGTAGCAAGTTTCAACAATCTCAACTGGTGATGGAAGAGAAAGACAATGAAGTATCTATCGTAAACTTCGGCAAAGGCCCTGTACCAGAATTTCGTCTACCACAGTCGCACCGGCAGTACATGCTAGACGAAACCGACAGCGACCTTTCCTACTTTTTAGAAAATTCCAACTCAACTACTGTGGACTCCGCTATTGACCTTGATAAATAAAAATATCTCAAGTTTTCAAGCATCAATTTTATTACAGGCGAATTATATAATTTCTACAGCAATAACATATACATTTAAAACAACAAATGTAAATTATATTTCATTCATTTATTTAGTTTGATACCTGTTATCGCAGCATACAACACAATTATTTACTTCACGCTATTGACGTTTTTATCGAGGTTTAAGGGTTTAAACCACTAGAATAGAATAGAATGATTTTTTATTCAACATTGATTATTATAATACTTATTGAGTCATTTTTTATTTACCACTGGTTCGTAAAATACCTCTGTCCTGGGAAGAACGAGTAAGAAACCTAGCGGGACTTTTTTTAACATAATTTTACTTAACAATAATTTTGTTTATACAATTTTAAATGAATTTTCATAGAACCAGCATGGTGGCGATCACCTTATTCCCAGGGGTTATTTTCATTCATGTATTCCTTGATATTATAATAACCCTTTTTGTACAGTTTTTCTTTAATAAAACTTTTAAACTTGTTTATCGAAAACTTTGAACATTTTCTGGTATTTTATTGTAAAAGTGTATACATTGCTCCATACATTAATTACTATTTCTATGGAGTCTAGTAACTGGAAATACAAGCTTATATTTGTTCCTAGTGTTTAAGGTAGGAACATGGCTGGGCAGCGTTCGGGAAACTACGACACATCTTCTCGTTAGACATACCTCGAAACCTGAAAACGAAATTGTACAACCAGTGCGTGTTGCCAGTGATGACTTACGGATCTGAGACGTGGTCCTTCACTGCTGGCCGTATGAGGATGCTCAAGGTCACTCAGCGAGCTATGGAGAGGGCTATGCTCGGGGTGTCTCTGCGTGATAAAATTAAAAAAGAGGATATCCGCAGTAGAACCAGAGTAACCGACATAGCCATTAATAAGCTGAAGTGGCAGTGGGCCGGCCATATAGCTCGAAGAACTGACAACCGATGGGGAAGAAAGGTTGTCGAGTGGCAGCCTCCTACCGGTAGGCTAAGTGTAGGGCGAACCCCCACTAGATGGAGTGACGACCTGGTGAGACATGCAGGAAGTCGATGGATGCTGGTGGCTCAGGACCGTGCTTTGTGGCATTCCTTGGGGGAGGCCTATGTTCAGCAGTGGACTTGTGAAGGGTTGTAATGATGATACTTACTTACTTACTTACTTATCTTCACACACAATCCCTGACGGGGTAGCCAGAGAGAACAGATCGCCAAGTGTCACGATCCTTACAAACCTCTTTCGCTTCTTTCAGATTCATTATCTTCTTCATGCATGCACGTCTAGGTATCCGAGTACTCTTGACCCTACCCTCTTCGAGCAATTTGCTCACATGGTCTTCGAAAGTTAGTCTCGATCTACCTCGACACCTTTTAATATTAACTTTCGCGCTATATATTTTCTTCACCATTCGGTCTTCACTCATTCGCTCAACGTGCCCAAACCACCGAAGCACGCCCATATCAATTTTTGTGATAAGGTCATCTTTTAAACCTGCCATATTGCGAATCTCTTCGCTGTAATGATGATGATGAATTAATTGACTGCCGTTTGAGTTTGAAAATTAAAGAGGATTCGTCAGCAAATAATACTATATCGTGATTGTCCCCTACAAGATAAGGTAAGTTATTAATATAGATTAAGAACAGGAATGGGCCAAGAATCGAGCCCTGAGGAACGCAAATAGAGTCCATCCCATCTGGAGGAACCTTTACCATTGACCACGACTTTTTGAGTTCTGTTACTTAAATATGAAGTAATAAGTCTAAGCGCCAATTTTTTTACACCGTAATGTTGTAGTTCCCTGAATAATATCTCATGATGAACACAGTCGAAATCTCGTGAATTCTCCCAGGCATTAATAATATATTACATAAGCTCAACACCGGCGTCAGACTTCGAGCTACTCCTTGTAAAACTAAATTGGTTTTTATGAAGTAATTTATTTGTATTTAAAATAATTAACAATTGCCGCAAAAATTAATTTTTCAAAAATTTTACTGAGTGTTAGTAATACAGAAATACGTCTAAAATTAGCGGGGGGTGTACTACCAGATTTAAATAATATTAGTTTGTTATACTTTATTAAATCCGGAAACACACCAGAATCGATACAAGTATTAAAAATAATAGCAAAATCAGGTGCAATTAAATCTATTATGGACGCAATAACTGTAACGGAAATCCCCCACAAATCTGCGGTTTTCTCTACATCAATGGTTTTGAAGTATTTTACAATATTATGCGGTAATATTTTTTCAAATCTAAATTCTTTTAAACAGGTATTAACATTCTGTATAAATAATGACTCGGCGACAGTTGGAGAAGTATTCAATGACTCTGTTGTCAAGATAGGAACATCAGTGAAATATTTCTCAAACACCGCTGCAACTTCTTGATTTTAATTAATTTTTAATTGATAGTTTGAGTTACGAGGTTTCTCTTTACCAGTTTGGCTGTTAATAATACTCCACGTCATTTTAATTTTATTCTTAGCCGTCTAATTTTGTCACTAATATGTAACGATTTGGCTGTGGAGCAAACTCATTTAAACATTTTAGAGTAATTTTTGACATATTCTTTGAACTACTACCCCATATAATTCAATGGGTGTCATAAAGTATAATTACAGGCTCTCAGACATTCGAATTTTATCTTCAGAGGTACCAATGCACCTGTAGCCTTATTAGTGTCTACGGGTTGCAAGTTTGTTTTTCACTTCAGTTTGTCGTATCAAAACTGAAACAAAAAATGGGCAGCAGAATCTTTCCGATCACAACTCAGTAATAATAATAAAAACTACGGTAACAGCCTGCCTGCTAAGCGTGGCAACTATGGCAATCAATGGGGAGACCATATATAGAATTAATGCTGTATGCTAAATTTCCGCCGACCACAATATTGAGTAGGTACTAAATTATTAAGCACAAATTAACGAACTATTTATTACTTTAGTCACATATTATACAACATGTAACAAAAGTCCTGTTAAGTGCGCTATTTAGAATTAGTATTCAAACGTATCGCAATAACTTTACTTCAGAAAAATCGACTATAAAAAATTAAATTAAATTTCAATAATTTTATTTTCAAATTATATGTAGTTTTATTACCTCTGTATTGGCCGGGTTGTTCAGATTGTAAATAACATTTTTAACATGATGGAATTTTGTAAGTTTTGTGAACCTATTGTGAATACTAAAATCCATTAATAACGACTAAAAAAACTGTCATAAAAGCCACGCACATTATGTACATCTATACGTCCCTAAAAGGAGCACCAAATTGTTTGTTACATACTGTACATGATTTCATTTTTTGAAACACCTGATCCAAATTTGCAATTATTTTACTTATTGAACATATAAATACAAAAATATAATAGAAATACTTCTTTCTAAATAAAATTGAAGTCGTTTACTGAATCGTTCGTCGTTTCCACTGAATGTATTTTTTCTCATATCAAGTCAAGCAAACGATAAATATTGCATTTCATTTTATTACACAATTTATCAATATTTTAAGTAGTACTTTTTAAAGGTAGATTGTTTTCATGTCAACAAAACTTGCATTTGGCAGTAAAATATATACCTTCCAATGTATATAAAAAGCGTGGTAAAGATTTTTATATGCACTGTAACTATTTCTACCATCTTAGATAGTATAGTGGCAGGTACATTTATTATTAAATCTATTTTATTTCCTTAGTACTCACATAATTTTTTTATCCTTACAAAGTTGCTGAGATCGTTAATAATTAATGCTTGAAGTATTAATAATACATACTTTTAACTTTTACATTTAATGAGCTTAGTACAACATGAATTAAACGGATGGTGAATTAATATGTCATTTCATTGAGGTGTGTTATTTAAATTAGTATCAAATCTATAGGGTTAACAATAAATGGAAATAGAGGTTTACTTGACGCCATAAAACAAAATTTACAAACAAACAACGATGATTACTTAGAAGATGCTAACATTAATACTAAAACTGTGGCAAATGTTACACTTAATAATATTCTTTCGGATATAACACAAGGTAATAACTCTAACAATAATCATAAAAAGCAGACTGTACAAAATACAACTGCAAATAATCGTGAAGTTATCAATAGAAGATCTTATAAATATACAATTTCTACGCCTATCCAACCAATTTCTCAGAAACTGAAATTTATAAACGAAACAACGTTAAACATACCATCTACTGTAACCCAAAACTTAAGCAGCAAGTGGAGTAGTAAGTTACTTCTTCCACCAAAAAAGGAACAAATATCTAATTCTTACACAGAATTTAATACAATGACAATAAAACCAACGCAAAATAAATCAAAATTATTAGGCGAAAAAAATAAAAAGTTTAAAGAATTAAAAAAAAATTTGACGAAACAAATGACAATAAAGAAACAACCAATGAGGGAACTCAAGAAATCATTGCCTCTGCCACACCAACAGAAAGTCGAAGTAAAGGACGTGATAAAGCCAGTAGCACGAGAGTATAATAACAAGCTATTGAGGTCTGGGCACTTGCCCAATCCAGAAATTTTGGATATGGCTGCAGCTAAAGACAGTCGAGTTAACGCCAAAAGATCTCAGGTAAATTTGTTTTTGATAATAATAGAATAGATTATTATTACTTAATATATATTATCAGTATTATACATAACGCGTGCTTTATCGTTACCACAGATTCAAGAAAATACCTTCGGCGAATAACCAACAAAAACAAGCGGGATATTTTTATATAAATATTTATAAACTACAAATTTTATTACTTTTTATCATTATAAAAAGTTATATAATTTGTAAAAAAGATACAGAGTACACATTATAGGGAAGACTTTTTTACCCAGCGGCTACTTAAGGCTGGTGATTTGATCATCATCATCATCATTGCAGCCCTTCACAAGTCCACCGCCGAACATAAGCCAAAACGCGGTGCTTCGACTTCTTGCACCTCTTAAGTGGTCGTCATTCCATCTAGTGAGAGCCGCCCTACACTTCGCTTACGAGGTTGCCATGCGAGAAGTCGAGAACCTTTTTTTCCCGTCAACTGTCGATTCTTCGAGCTACATGGCTGGCCCATTGCCACTTCAGCTCTCAGATGTTTCTAGTTCAACTGCGGAAATGAGGATATCCGCAGTAGAACCAGTGTAACCAATATAGCCCAACGAATTGGTTGTTATGACGTTTTTATTAACTCGCTTTCGTGTACGTCTGTTCGGGTAGAATATTTATTGGTTTTAAACTAACTTTCAGATAAGCTAGACTAGACTTTCAGATAGGCTAGGCTAGACTTTCAAATAAGCTAGACTAGAGACTTGAAATTTTGAAGATAGCTTAAAATCGGATGACAATGTAAGGATTTTTTTATAGAATAAGGGTGGCACACAGTCCACCTGATGATAATTGGATGCTGTGACACATATACGTCTACATTTATCCTCGGTTGGGAATCACGACGCGTTGACGCGTTGTCAGCGCTGAGGATTAAGATGGAATGCGTCGTTTTCCGTAAAAAGGGTATCCTGTTCTCTACACACATTATACGAATCACAGGAGCGTTTTGCATTGTACTGCTATTCTGTGAGAGCGTGGACCTTCCCAGGTCGAGCCGACCCATTCGTGCTACAACCATAACATAGCTGCACAGCGTGGCTCGTATAACATATTATGTATAAATGAAATGATAACAAACGTGGTATATTAAAAAATTATACATAAGTTTTAAAAATTTCACTTGTTTTAATGATGATGATAAAATCAACTCCTCTTCCCACCGACGTACACTCCCACAGTGAATAATGATAGTTACGACCAATACTAATGGCAGGGTCGGCTGTGCGACCGCAACGTGCTGATCCCCGAAGGGCCGAAGTACGACAGCGCGGGCCGCGTGTACCTGCCAGCTTACGCGGGCTCGAAGCCGTACCAACGTACGCATCGACCGCGACTACTGCTGCCCGTCTGTTGCAACTGCTGCAAGAAGTCCGTGCTCGGCTGCCAGTGACGTGAAAGCGAATAAACGCTCACACTCGCATGTTTTGCTCTCAATGATATTCCTCCGCCTTATATACTTTTTTATATATTAAAACTTTTATAAACAAGAAAATACTGCATATTGCGGACTTAATGCGCTAAGGCATTATCTTCCAGTCAACCATTAGGCTAAGGCTAAGCATAGATAAACATAATATGGAAGGTAGTGCAGCAAAAATAAAGTAATAGTTAAACTAGACTACTGACTTGATATGATTTTATGTTATGAGAAATTTCGTTAGTTGTGATGCGTTTGGATTCGCTTCGATTGAGCGTTATTGCAGCATATCGATACGATATGTTTTGTTATATCTAACTCTTGCCTAAATATTACGTTTAATACCTAGCCTAGTTGTACAATACTTAAATACTTATTTGAAGATAAAGATGATAACTATGCATTTTAATAATAATAGCTTAAGTCATTGTTTCCTAGATAACGCTGTCTTCTATTTACAGTTGTCATCTAGTAGTCTCTGTTGTTTTCTATGATCAGTATTATTAATTAAACATTAGGTATCGCCGATAAATTTATAATAGAAATATCGCACTAGTTTTGGTTGATAAATAGATAATGATTTCTTATATTTACGCGAACACTACACATTGAATAAAACTATTTTTACGGATTTTATCGCGTTTAATTAACTTGTTTTATATTCCCGACGTTTTGGTTGCTTTCCAGCAACCGTGGTCACGGGGGACTGAGGTGATTGACGTCCCGATGTCAAAGTTAACCCGGAGTACCTTCAGCTTTTTAATTATTAATTTTGGTCCGATCTACGCAGAATGAACTAACTGTGTCTTGAAGTCTTGCAGTGGTATGCTTGGGTTTAGTTTTAATTTTATGAATTACAGGATCCCAAGCAGGTGGTAGTACCCAGCCTCCCTCTCTATTGAAATTAGGATGTTTTTTAATTTCAATAGCCTCACGTATCATCCTTGGCAGGAATCGATGTTCTTTCGTGAGGACTTGTGGTTTATCAAATCTAATGTAATGGCGGGGGCCGTCTAGGATATGATCACAAACTGCAGACTTCCCGGAACGTTGGTGCTTCACGTCAGCTGTGTGTTCTTTTACGCGGGTTTTTATTGATCGTTTTGTTTGCCCTATATATGAGAGACCACACTCACAATCAAGCTTGTATACTCCTGCATCTTGTAGAGGAATATTGCACTTGACGGATGGTAAGAACTGACTAATCTTCTTCGGCGGTGTTCCGTATTTGATGTCTTTATTTTCTTTTCATTAATGGTTCGGTATAATTTTATAACTAGAAATAGTACAATTTGAAAGGAAAGCATCTCGTCTTACGTATAACATTTCGAATAAATATTTTTTCTTACTGGCAAGCACTCTTTAACTTTGAAGCGAGCAACCCTTTTTTCAACTACACCCGCAACGACCACTAGTAACGGCAAGTTCCTCGTCAACGCAAGCATTAACGCTTTTGACGGTACCTTGTACGCGCGCGTTCCGTTACCAGCAATAGATAAGATCTCATTTCCCTGCTCCATCGAATACTAAGGCAGCTTTCCATACCTGACCTGTGGATAAAAGAACAATAGTGGACACATTCGGCCAGAAGATACATCACATCGGGCCGGTAAACGTTGGGCAGCTCAGAAATTACCCAGGTGAGTGTTTGCCAGGTCTTATGTACATAACATAATTGTTTTTGGTCCTTCGAGCCGGATCTTTCCTTTCAAATCGTGCTGTCTTAGTAAGAGTGTTATCTTTAGTTTCACACACACTTTAAATTTTAAAATTTAACGTACATACGTACTTTCACCGACGTGTCGTATAGGCCATCTTTGCAACGCAAAATGCCGGATCCAGCACGAGTTGAAGAATTTATGTGTGATGTTTCATGCGAGCAGGACATGTTCGAACGCGATATTATTTTAGATGATTTAAAAAGAACATTACAGTTCGCAACGACCGATGAACAAAAGTTCCGTTCGCGAACTAAAGATCTTACGGCACAACAAAGAAAGTTTAGTAAATTACAAACTAAAATAGAAAAATGTCTAATAAAGACAAAAATGTTCAACAAAGATGAACAAATTAAAATTCGTAACGATTTTGATGACGCATACTACGCTATTGTCACGCATCTGAGCAAATTAAAACAAGATGACGAACAAGTCAGGCGTATGAGTAGGTCTTTTAACTCCGAATCGTTTGCACAATCCCACAATCCAAAATTGCCTAAAATTCCCTTGCCCCGCTTCTCGGGTAATAGTACTGACTGGAATTCATTTTATGACTTATATATTTCACTCGTACATAACAATAATGCCTACACGGATGCGGAGAAATTCAGATATTTACTCCTTACCTTAAAAAATGAACCTTATAATTTAATTAAATCAATTCCCATTACCGACGCGAACTATTCTGTAGCCTTACAGGTATTAATTTCGCGTTATGAGAACAAAAGAATTATAGCTTCCACTCATCTCGACAGAATTCTCGATGTTGAACCTTGTTCAGAAAAATCAACAATCAGCTTACGTAATTTACTAAACATTTACCAAGAAAACATTAAAGCACTTGAAGTCATGAAATTTCCTACAAACGAATGGAGTTTTATCTTATTAACGATTTTACTGCGAAAAATTCCTTCATCTATCCGCAAACGTTTTGAGTTATCATTAAAATCACCATCAGAAATTCCTGATATCAACACACTAATATCCTTTTTGGAGCGGGAGTTGTCCGCAAGCGAAATTTCTCACCCTAATTTCGGTCAAATTACTAAACACGAGGGTCAATCAAAATCAAACGCACCATCAAGCAGCGGCGGTAGCCGCACGACGGCATCTCAGGGCGCACGCCGTATATTTATAGGAAACAACACATCACAGCCTGTTTCAGAGTCTGCATATAATATTCCAAACAAATTTCCGAGTGTTAAATATTTCCATTGTATATGCTGCGACGCCCAACATACACTAACTAAATGTCCGACGTTTTTAAACCTATCACCCAAGGAGCGCTATACATTTATTAGTGGTAAAAACGTTTGCTTTAATTGTTTACACGTTGGACACGATGTTAAGCAATGCAGATCAAATTTTATGTGTCGGACGTGCAACAAACATCATCATACGCTAATTCATTTCGATAATCAATCTTATGTAGCTGCTACCGAGACAGCTGATCCGCATGACAGCTCCGCTTCACTCCCTCCTACAGCGTACGATCCCGCCACTTCGAGCGATTCTCAGCTGGTTATGACGTCGATACATCACACGACTCGCGACGCTAGCGCGCAATCTAGTTCTGCTCCGTCAGTGCGAACGAGTACAGTGTTACTGTCAACAGCGCTCATCGATGTTTACGTAAATAATCATAAGCGATCGACCGTGCGTTGTCTCATAGATTCGGGAAGCCAGGTTTCCTTTATTAGTGAGGCGTGCGTACAACGTTTGGGCTTAGCGAGAAAACATGTCAATATTCCTCCTGTTTACGGAATCAATGAAAACAAACCGGTTTATCCAAAGGGTTTAGTTTCGTGCTATATTACACCAAAAAATAAAACACAACCTTCGGTACAAATCGAAGCCTTAATCTTACCGAAGCTTATTACTACACAAATGCCCTCTTGTCAATTACCTTATAAGGAATGGTCCCACATTAAAAATTTGACATTGGCTGATCCCGATTTCTTCACACCACAACCCGTAGAAATGTTACTTGGAGCGGACATACTTCCCCAAATTCTATTAAACAATACGGTGACTGGGCCTCCTGGTACACCCATAGCAATAAATAGTATTTTTGGATATTTACTGCTAGGCAAGTTAGATTTTAATATTCATTCACCCGTTTCATTCCCAGTTCAAGTGTTTTACAGCTCGGTTAACGATGAGTTTGATCTTCAACGCTTTTGGGAAATAGAATCAATTACAGAACAAAGGTCTCTCACTCCCGACGAAGTTTTGTGTGAGACAATTTTCGAAAACACGCATACGCGTAATGATACAGGACGATATGTAGTCGCTCTGCCTTTCAAGCCTGACGCCTTGCCCCTTGGTGAGTCACGTGACATTGCTATCGCTCGATTTCGCAGATTAGAATACAAGCTTGAACGCAATCCGCCACTGAAATATAGTTATCATGCATGCCTCCAGGAGTACTTGGACCTTGATCACATGGAACCTTGTGATGGCCTTTCACCTCAATCTGGTGGCGTCTATTATATTCCGCACCACTGCGTGGTGAAGGAATCTAGCGAAACAACAAAAATGCGAGTGGTCTACGATGCAGGTTGTAAGACTACCCATGGGAACTCCCTGAATGATGTTTTGTTTACAGGACCCAAACTCCATCTGGATATAGTCGACGTTCTACTGAAGTTTCGAATTCATTCTATTGCCTTCACAGCTGACATTAAACAGATGTACCGCAACATTTTAGTCCGTGACACAGATAGGGATTTTCAGCGTATCGTATGGCGCACTTCTCCTGACGAACCTATACGTGACTATCGCCTTCGTACTGTAACTTTCGGAGTTAGTTCCTCACCTTACCTCGCACTTCGTACAATGCGACAACTTGCGCTTGATGAAGCCACTCGTTTCCCACGTGCTTCTCAAGTCATAATAGGTGACATATTCGTAGATGATATAGTGTCAGGCGACAATACGGAGGCAGAAGCTCTTGCTCTACAACAGGAGTTAATAAGCATATGTCAGGCTGCCGGCTTTACTCTTCACAAGTGGCACAGTAACTCGCCTGCGTTACTCGCTGCGGTTCAGCCCACAAGTTCTCATGGTGAGCGGCACCATTACGTACCTTTTGCGGAGATGGAAAATGACATGAAAACTAAAGTACTTGGTCTTCAGTGGAACTCAAATTCAGATTCATTTACTTTCAGTGTTCAAATTACCTCTAACAAATGTACTAAGCGTTCGATTCTTTCAGAAATTGCTAGAATTTATGACCCACTTGGCCTTTTATCG